CAAGAGAATTATCAGCTGAAGCTGAGAGAGAATTGGCTTTGGTGGAAAAAAAAAAAACACTACAGGATGCACATGTGGATCGTTTGGATCCAGAGCTTGATTGCATTCTGTTTATTTTACCCTCTATGCATTCTCCTCCAGGAATAATAATGCAAAGGGATGATTTTATCTTAGAATGGATCTTTTTACCACATAAACATAGTAAAAAAAATTAAAAATTTATGTGGAAAATGTCTCTGAGTTGATCCTAAAAGGAAAATTGAGACTTTGTCAATTAGCAGGAATAGACCCAGCCGAAATTATAGTACTTTTAACTAATGATGAAATTGAAAAATTATGGGTGGAAAGTGAACCTTGGAAAAGAGCTTGCAGTAATTTTTTGGGAGAGATTAACAACAAATACCACAAAAGCAAGAGAATTATATTCATAAAGGGAACTCACTGGACCCTTTCTCATACTGTACAGGGAACACCAATATCTAGAGCCCCTAAATTTATACTGATGCAAGCAAATCAGGAAAGGCGGGTTACAAATCAGAAGATTTAAGTAAAGTGGTACAAAGTCCTTATAATTCTGGGGCTGGAGATAAGGCTCAGAGGTTAAGAGCACCGACTGCTCTTCCAGAGGTCCTGAGTTCAATTCCCAGCACCCACATGGTGGCTTATAACCATCTGTAATGAGATCTGGCACCCTCTTCTGTATACATAATAAATAAATAAATCTTTAAAAAAAAGTCTTTATAATTCTGTCCAAAAGTCAGAATTATATGTTATTCTTATGATATTAATGGATTTTACAGAACTTCTTAACACAGTTACTGACTTTCAGTATGCAGAGTTATTTTACCCATTGAAACTGCTGAATTTATTCCTGATGAGTAAGAATTAACTTCATTTTTTTCAGTTATAAGAAATAATCAGGAATAGTTATCATCCTTTATATATAACACACATCTGATTCCATAAGGGTCAGCCAGGCCCTGTAGCATAAGGTAATCATGAAATTGATCAACTATTGATAGGAAGTGTGCCAGAGGCCTCAGAGTTTCATAAAAGACACCATGTCAATAACAAGGGTTTGAAAAAGGATTTTTCCATCATTTGGCAACAAGCCAAGAAAATTATAAGTAAATGTCCTACTTGTTCTTTATACAACCAAACTCCACTACCTGCAGTAAGTAACCCATTTCAAAGGAATGAAATCTGGCAAACGGATGTGTTTCATTTTGTAGAATTTAGAAAATTAACATATGTACACTACACCATTGATACTTATTCAGTATTTCAATGTGCAACTGCTTTGAGTTCTGAAAAAGCTGATTCTGTATTCACTCATTTGCTAGAAGTTATGGCCATCATGGGTATACCTGTACAAATTAAAACTGACAATGCTCCAACATATGTCTCTAATAAAATGAAACATTTTTTTGCTTATTACCATACAAACCATATTACAGGTATACCACACAATCCTACAGGGCAAGCAGCCATAGAAAGATCAAACTGAACTCTAAAGGATATGCTAAATAAACAGAAAGGGGTAACAAAACCCCCAGAAATAGATTACACAATGCTCTATTAACTTTGAATTTTCTTAATGCTAATGAGAAAGGAACAACAGCTGTGGAGAGATACTGGATAATAGAAAAACTACAGAATTAAATTAGCCTGTATACTTTAAAGATGCACTGACATCAGAAGGGAAACCAGGATATGTGTTGGGACGAGGTTTTGCTTTTGTTTCCTCAGGAGGAAGAAAAGCTATGGTTATTATCAAAATTGATAAAGGTCTGATTTGAAAGAGAGAGGCCTCTTAATTAGAAGAGGTGATAGTTCATCAACCAGAGTGACCATTCAAGCTAAACTAACTTACACAACTGACAAATGCTTTTCATTTGATCAGATATAACTTGCCAAAAGGGAACCTCCCCAAAGTTAGGGTTGGGGAAGGGTTTTGCTTTTGTCTTTTCAAGAGAATGAAGACATCCAGCGAAGGAATCTAAAGCTTACTGGTCAAATGAGACATGTGAAGTAAACGGACAAATTACTCAGAAAAAAATGTCCAAAGAAAAAGAGTAAATTGGCCTATTGTTGTATCACATCTCCAACAGGATAAAATTTCATAAATCTTCCCAAATGTTTGTTTCTGCTGTTCTCTACATCATATAAGGCAAATGTTTTTTTTTTTTGTAGTCCCAATCCAATTAAAAATTATATCTGGCTTTGGAGTTGGAGTGTGGCTATACACACACACACACACACACACACACACACACACACACACACACACACACACACACACATATACTTTTTGCCATGATATTAATGGTCATATAGAGTACTAACTAATTCTAGAAAAAGGCTTCACTTAACTTCCCATACATGATTTCACATTTGAGTCTCCATCAGGTAACTAGACATTAAGTTTTTGTACTATGGATGTACAAAACAAATATTGATCTTTTAACCTGATATCTGCTGCATATGACATTTAAAATGTTTAAGTTCTCTGCAATGAACTATGGCCATGCCTAACAATGATCTTTGAAGTTTCCAAAAGTTTGATGGGGCCCTACAACGATGATTCCACATCAAGTATAATACCACTAAGCTGAAAAACACCACCTAAAGATGAGCTTTGGACTACAACCTGCTCAGGATGATTTTGAGGTAGCTAGCTTAGATGATCCAGCCTCACAGACTACTCTGTCCAGGACTTGAGACAAGCCCTGCACTTACCCATTATACAGAGACTGATCAACAAATGATAAAACTACCTCTCCCAGGACTTGACAATTAACCCCAAATTTTCTTTTCAGGATCCCATAAAGATGCCTTTGCCCCCAGACAGCAGGATGTAAATTTAAGAACCCAATACCCACATTCCCAAGAGATGGGGTGGGTGGGTTTTGGCCTTTCAATGGGTTATAGATATTTGTCATTGTTTAGGGTGATTGGTTGTAAGCTGTTATTTGTAATGGTTAAAAAAAGCTGAACAAAGGAGATTAGATTCAGGGTTCTTGTTTTCTCTTGAAATGAGAAAAGTGGGATATAGAAATGATAGGATAAAAGGGTAGAATATTGATTCTACTTTTAAAAAGCAACTACTTTGTAGTGGTATTGTGTTCCCCAAAATATTGTGTACCTTAATAAACTTATCTGGGGTCAGAGAACAGAAAAGCCACTAGTTAGGCAGTGATAGCACATGCCTTTAATCCTAGCATTCCAGAGACAGAAATCCCTCTGGATCTCTGTGAGTTCAAGGCCACATTGGAAACAGCCAGGCATGGTGACT